GCCCACGCGCGCGCTCCGCGCCGGTGCCGCCGCGGCGCCCTCCATTCATCGGGATGCGTCTCGCTCGTGGCCTTGTTTTTTTGGGGGGGTTTTACCTTTTCTTTTTTCTCTCTGCTTTTTTTTTCTTTTCTTTCCGTTTGGTTGATTCCCCCCCCGCCCCCCCCATCTCGGTACCGCCTCCCGTGATGATGCTCCCGGCTCCGCGACGCGGAGGCCCCGGCGGGGGAGGGGAAGGTGCAGGGCTGGAGCGGGGGGGCTCTTGGCGGCTCGTCGCCCTCCCTCCCCCCGTGTCACCTCCCCGCGCGTGGACGGCGGCCAATGACAGAGCGCCCGGCGGTTTCAAATAACGCCCCGAGGACGCGGGCTGGCCCTCGTCGCCCGCGCCGTGTCCCCCCGCGGGCTCCGCGCCGGCCGCTGCTCTGCCCTGCGCACACGCGTATACATATATATAAATATATATATATATATGCACATGCATACGTGTCCTTAACGTGCCCGCGGGCCCGCGCGGCGCGGCTAGCGGATCGCTGCCGCTTTAACGGGCCCGCCGCGCCGGCCCCGCCAGCAGCTATTTCCTCGTCACATGCTCATTTGAACGCGGCGCGGGGCCGTTGCGTAGCGGGGGGCGGGAGGGGGGGCAGGGAAAAGAAAGTGAGTAAAAGGGGAGAATAACTAAAGAAAAAGCGGATCCCACCTCCCACCCGCCGCGCTCCGGCTGCAGGATCCGGTAAAACGCCCCGTCCACGCGCGTCCCCTCGCGAATGGCTGGGGAGAGGAAAGGGGGGAGGGGGGCGAATAAAAATTGCGGAGGTCCCCAACCTGTCGCGGAGTGTCGGTCCGGGAGGGATGCGGCGCCGGGCAGAGTCCGACCCGCTCGGCCCGCTTCGGTTCCGTTCAGTTCGGCCCGGGAGTGGGCGGCGCGGCCTGGCGGGGGCGCCGCGCTCCGTCCATATAGGTCCATATCTTATCCATATAGGTCCATATGTGTCCATATCGGTGGGGGTTCCTCGGTGGCCGGGCCCGGGAGCGGGGCGGCCGCGGGGCCCGCGCAGTTGGTGACCGAAACCGGCCGTTTCGAAATGAAAGCGGCTCCCGGACACAGATCTGGGCAGGTGCCGCCGCCGCGCTGCGGCACTGGCCGTTTGTAATCACTAGAAACGGAACCGCCGCGCTAAACACCGCGATTTTAGGGCTTTCTCGGAATATTCATTATTGGTGATCCGCCTGGTTGCAGACTGTTACCGTTATCATTTCAGATTTCCAGACCCTGCAGCAGGATGGACATGGGAGCGGGCGGGGCCTGGCTCCCGCCCCCGGGTGAGTGTCCCGCGTGAGTGGGGCGGGAGCGCGCGTGGGGGCGCGTCCCGCGCTCGCCTCGGGGCGCGGAGCCCGCGGGGGGCGGCTGGGGGGGCCTAACGAGGGCGCGTTATTTCCCACTGCTCCTCTCTGATATTTCCTGGGCAGCAGATATTCCCAAGCTGCAACGGCGAGACGTCGTAACTCGAATTACTCCAATGTGGGAAAAACCAGCACCTTTTATCATAAGGGTCCCGTCCAAGCTAAACGTTTGCTGGAGTGCGGTCCCCTCTCCTAGCTCCATCCGCCCCCAGTGTCCCCGGTCCCCGCGGCTCTTACGCTGCAAATACTCGTACAGCCAGCGCGCGGTCCCTGCTTTGCAGGAGCGCAACGCGCCTCTGCTCAGGCGCGAGCACACAACGTTAACCACTCGATGAGCGGGTATGTATTTTAGTGCGTAATTACAGTTAATGCTTTAATTTAGTTAATGCACAAACACATATTCTGTATATCTTACACACGTGCTATATACGCATTACATATATATAAACGGCACGGTTGCGTACTTACAGAGATTCTCGGTTTTCAAGAAATAATCATATGGGCTGCATTGCAACAGGTTTATTTTATGAAGAATCACATACTTTAATAACTTAAATATTATAATAAGGTAAGGTATTGTTCTTTACATATGAAATATGTCAGATAGTGAGACTGCAGATCGAAGATCTGTATTTTATGTATTTATTTCCCCTTTCATCCCCCACGGGCGGTCCTGTGAGCTGCCGGGGGGTGAAAGAAGAGGGCTCCCCGTATCCCCCGCCGCGCTCCCTCCTCGCAGGCCTGGAGGCAGCGCGGCGCCTTCTGATTGGGCTTATTGGCCTCCCGGAGCCCGTTCCAGCTTCCTTGTGTTGGGGCAGCCGGAGGGACACGCTCCGACTCGGAAATAATTAATTGGGAAACTGAAGATTCCCTCCACCCTCCCTGCCTGCGAGCACAGTCGTTTCAGCGCAAAACAAGTTTTATGGCTCAATTCCTTCTTGGCCCAAACGGCCACTTTCAAGCATCGTGAGGAAATACTGGAGCTCAATTTCGACCTCAAATTTTCAATTTTCATCTCCGTGAGTCTTCATTCTGTGAAAGCCATGTTTCCTTTCCAAATATTGTTAAACTAACTTGGGGAAGGTCTCCTGCTGAACGGCCTGCGGAGCACCCTGTCCTTGAAGCCAGGGCAATCTCGGGCTTGCAGGAACACACATTGTGACTTGTTTTCTCCTTCAGGTCCCACGTTTAATAACACCGAGACGAGCCACGGATGCGCCCCAGGACATGCGCGGACACGCACAGCAGCAGCGTGGGTTTACCGAGCTATTCGCCGACCGCACCAGGAAGCTGCTGCTCCGCACTGTCCCAGCCGGTTTTGCTAGGAAGAGTCCGCGATCGGGCTTTCTGCCGTGAGTCCGATATTGCTCAAATCTAAACGAGTGCGGAGCAGCTCGTGGGGGCTCCAGCCTCTCCTGCCGCTCGGTACCGGAAAGCAGGCCTGGACGAGGCACCGGGGGCTTTTGCGTCCTCCCCAGCGGGGAGTTGTTCACATTTATTTCTTCACAGTGTCCAGACTCTCGTCCGGGACGGGGAGTACAATTTGAGGGCAAGATAGCACTCAGTCCCTTGCAAAGCGTGGAAAGGATAATAAAATCCGCACGTCGCGCCTGTCCTTGCTGCCTCCCTGTGGAGAAAGGGGTCACGGGGGCGGCTGTCACGGCTGCGCTTCCGATGGGGCCGCCCGCCCGGGCGGGCCGCTGTCGCCGTCGCGGGGGGGCGGGTGCTGCAGGTAGCGGCCCACGGGCCCGTGCGGCCCCCCGGCCGCCACGTCGAGCGGGAGGCGGCCGCGCGCGTCGCGCAGGTCGAGGCGCGCCCCGGCGCGGTGCAGCGCGGCCAGCGTGTCCACGAAGCCGGCGCGGGCCGCGTCGTGTGCCGGGTAGCAGCCGGTGCGCGGGTCGGCGCGGTTGGGGTCGGCGCCGCGCTGCAGCAGCAGCTCGGCCACGCGCGGGCTGCCCAGCATCATCACCTGCGGGGAGAGAGGCCGTGAGCAGCGCYACCGACGCCGGCCGCGAAGGGCTCCTCGTGGCCAAACGGGAGCCGATGGCCGAGCAGAGGCGCTCGGCAGCCGCGGGAAACCCTCTTCTCCCGGCAGCCGGAGGCCCTGACGGCGGGACGCGGGTAGAAGCGAGGGGCCGGGGGAGAAGGAGGCCCTTTCTCCTAAAACCGCCAATCGCCTTCAAAGCCAGGGAGATTCCAGGTTGCTTCTTGTTTGTTCGTTTTTCAGGCGGCGGAGCCCTGCCCCGCCTGGCCGCCGCGCACCGGGATTCCTGCAGCGACACCGCCGCGGTTCGGTTTTTCCAGCAGGTGAGTGCGAGCCCGCTCCCTCCTTCTCTTCTGGGAGAGCTGCCGAAGGCGGTTCTGGCTGCGGCACCGACCGCTCTGCAGCTCTCCCTTCCACCGCGGCGCGCGAGCAGGTCCCTTCCCGGCACGGACGAGCACGGGAAAGGAAAGCATTCCCAAAATCTGTGTCACATGCGCATTTCGTGCGAAATACTGCACTGACGCTTCACAGGAGAGACTTTTGCAAACACTGGCCTTTTATTCTAAATACAACCCCCGGGATTATTCCAGTTTCGTTTTATTTTGAAAATTTTAAGCGAAGCTGGCCAGAACCGCTCCAGATTTCYTTGTATAAATCTAGTTTCTATTCTCCCCCCGGGAATGTGCGGTGCAATACGCTCCCCTTTCTGTAAGATGGAGCACACGAGCCCTGCCGCTCCCGTTTATGTAAGATGGAGCATACGAGCCCTGCAGAGAGCCTGGCTACCTACCCGTAGTGGCGGTGGGAGAAAAGTATCTGCTCAGAAGGGCCCGCAAATAAATCGTGAAGACTGGTGCGTGAGAATTTACCGGACACAGACGTATAAAGCAGAAGGCAAGGTATGACAGAAAGCTTAACTTTTTCTTAAAAGGTGACTCGACACTCTTCTTTTTAGCGCACATGGGGGGAGATGAGCACTAAATCTCTCGGTTTTGAGTCATTCCACCTCCTCTGGTTAGAATGGAGCGCGGAGTTGCTAAAACTAAAACTCCTCTGATGCGGCCGTCACCGACTTTCACCTCTCCTGGAAGGCGCCGCCTCGAGAGCGGTCGAGCCGGCGCTGCCGCCGCCCTCCGCGCCCCGCTCCGCGCCCGCGTGTCCCGGCCGCGCTCCCCTGGCGCCGTCGCGGCCCACGCTGCCTNCCGCGCCCGGCGGCGCAGGGAGGGCGCTCGCGGCCGCGCTGCGCGGAGGCTCCGCCGCGGCGCTACCTGCAGCGGGGTCCGTCCGAAGGAATTGACGCCGTTGGGGTCCGCCTCGCCGTCCAGCAGCTCGCGCATCCTGCGCAGGTCTCCGCGGGCCGCGGCGTTGGCCAGCTCGTCCGCAGCGACCTGCGCCTCGCTGCGCTGCGCCTCCGTGCTCGGCGCCGCCATGGCTCCTCCTCGCCGCGATTCCGCCCCGCGCCGCATCCCCGGTCCATGGGGCCGCCCGGCCCGGTCCGCTCCGGTCCGCTCCGGAGTCGCCTCCAGGCACGGGACGCGGTAGCGCCCGCGGCTCGTTTTCTTCGCGTCGCCGGTGCCTCCCCACCGCGCCCCGCCCGCCCCCTGATGTCACCCACGGGCACGCGCGCTCGCGCGTGGGGCCGCCTTGCAGCGCGGAGCGCGGGGCCCGGGTCAGCTGTGCCCGCGCTCCCGAGCGCTTTCTGCCGTTTCGTGCTGCAAACGCTCTTCGGAGCGGGGAGGGTGCAAGCGCGGAGCAGGAGGCGGCGCGGAGAGCCCGCGGCCGCGGGCGACGTGAGCGCAGAGGTCCCCGCCTCCCTCCCGCGCCGGCTGTTGCTAAACACCTGGCCGAGACTTTGAACCGCTCCCGCGAACTRAACCGCGGAGGAGCGGCCAACCTTCCTGCCGTTTGTCACAAGGCGCACGGTGCTTCTCCCCGGTGACCCGAAACACGCTGCGCGTTTGGCCTCCGCGCTGGCCCCGCGCTGTGCGCGCGTTCCTGCACGCTCCTGCGCACACGGGTCCGCCCACCGCTGGTTCACCCAGGAAATATTTCACAGCAAAAAAAAAAATATATGTATTACTTTTCCTCGGAGCGCCGCGATACTGCCGTGGGGAGCCGAGTTTTTCTCCTCACCGCGTGTCTGAAGCGCGCTGGCGCAAGAGGCCCTGCTTCCAAGATGCCGTCGCGCGGCCCCGCGGCAGCGGCTCGGGGCGGCGCGCGGGGGCGGCAGCACCAGGGACAGCTCCGCGCCTCGCCGCGGGACCGCGCGGGACGCGACGCGACGCGACGGGACGGGACGGGCGGCCATGCGCGAGCCCCACGGCGCCCACGCGCGAGGCCCCACGGCGCCGCGCCATGCTCGCCGTGGCGGCTCGCGGAGAGCCG